TAAAGTATTATAGTTATGATATTATTATATTTCATTTCCTTCCAAATGTAAACGCAAATCACCTCAAGTATTCTGCATAAACTGCTGACGGTTTTGTGTGCTCTGTGGCAGGCTGCAATTTGTATTGCTTTTGGGTTTGCTCCATTTAAGGGCAGTAAAGACTATCTGTCTATAGACATAGTAATATCTGTCTATAGATATAGATAGTACTTATTAATTACTCTCTATCTTCCCATGCAGACTGTAGCCATTCATTTCTAATGTCCCAGCCACAGCTATTCTGTCAGAAATCTGCTGTACCTGCTCAACTGTGTCTCTTCCCTGCCTCAGCCATTCCCAGATCCTTCCGTGTTCTGTCCAATACAGGTCATCACCCTGTTCATGAGCTCCAGCGCATGTTAACATCCAGCTTTCTTCTTATTAATACTGAACAGTTAACGCTGTCAAGCTATGCCACTGCTTCCCAAGCCTTTCGAGTTCTCTGTGAAGAAGGGTGTCAGGTAACTGTTCTCAGCCCCTGGCACGCTATCTGTGAGGGGAGCTCGGGGCTGCCCCACATCAGACATGGCCAGTCCCGGCCACCTCAGTAACAGACCCACAACAGGCCCCCTCGGCAAGGCTGGTGGTGCCTCTGTGAAAATGTGTTTAAGGCAGGGAAAAATACTGCCCAGGACTGAGGAGGGGAGACAGAAACGTGGGAAACAGCTCTGAGGACAGAGGGGGAGTGGGGAGGCCTTCCAGGCACCAGAGCAGGGATTCCCTGCAGCCTCGGGGAGACCATGCAGGAACGGGGTAGGACTGCAGCCCATGGAAGGACCCAAACTGAGGCAGGGAAGGAGGAGTGGAGAGAGGAACTGTTATGGACTGGTCCCAACGCCCACTCCCCTGTTCTGCCTAGGCGGGGAAGGAGGAGGCAGGTAGTTACCTGGGAATGGAGGTGTGAAGTTGAGCCCGGGGGAAAAGACAGGTGAGGAGGTGAGTGGAAGGTGTTCTGTCTTTCTCACTATTCAAATCTCTTTCAATTGGCAATAAATTAGTTTCCCCAGATGTTATCTATTTTGGTGGTGAGGGTAACTGGTAAGCAATCACACTGTCTATCTCAGTGTGCCCCTCTTACTGTCTCTCCTTGTCCTGTTGAGGAAGGGGAGCCAGAGTGTCTGGGTGGCCATCGAGGAGCTGGCCAGAGTCAACCCACTACAAGTACCAAGTGCTATTTAAACTTCTAGTCTTAAAAGGTGTGTGGAGTATTCATGTAGGATGTATCAGTTCTCTAGCATATTCCAGGTGAGAGTTTGAGTACACGTGGCTCGGCACCACTTGTTCCAGAAAGATAAACTGGCCCTGTTCAGCACACAGGGACACTGAGAGGAAACAAAGCACCTTTGGTAGAGACACGTTTGCAACGCTGGCAGGGCCTTTGGAGACCACAACCCCTTGCAGTGGTGGGGGCAGGAAGGGATTCCTGATAGTCAAGCATGCCGTGCTGACTCAGTAACTCTGCACAAAGCTGGGGGGGTTACTGGAAGTCAGCACGGGTCTTCACCGCCTGCCCACTCCTTTTATGCTCAGCAAGAGAGCACAGTGGTACTTCAGGTTTCTGTGCTCAGTGTGCTCTTCAAGACCACAGGAAATAGCACTTTTAAGAAGTAAGTCTATTGGGGGCAAATTTTTTCTCCTCTTTTTTTTTTCACAGAGGAAGTTAAAGAATGAGAGGAGTAAAAGCAGATAGACTGAATTTCCAAACCAATCGTGTGACGCATACGGCTAAGAGACAATTCAATGGTTCCTCAAGAGGTTTTCATACCCTAAGAACAAAAGCCCCGTTAAGCAGACTTGCAGAGGGTACAAGTCACTAGAAAAGAATCACAAGAAAAAGGAGATCAATTTGGTCACAAAGAAGAGATGAAACTTAACAAGAAAAAGCAGCAACACTTGGTGTCTAAGTGAAGTTCCTGGAAAGTCAATGATATAAGACAATGAACATCAGTTTCTTCTCTCTAAGCCATGTCGCAAAGTCATGTAACCTTATTCTCTCTCTTCAGAGGGCTTGGTGTACTGATTCGACCTCACTGCAGGCTGGTGGAAGGCAGAGGTTCACCAGTGTCACCATCTCCTTACACAGTTTTGATGCTGGTCATAAACTAAATGTGAACACTGTGGAAAAGTTAGCAAGCTTTTCTTCAGTTTCCTATAAAGTTAGGTGCCAAGCGTGGTTTACAGGCAATGAGCTGAAACACAGAGAAATGGAAGTGCTGCTGTGAAGTGCCATTTTCGTGATTTTTTTTCAAAGAATTCAGTGGTTGTATTCCTTTTGGTATGCTCTGCATTCATCCCCAGCAGGCCCAAAGAGTGGTCTTGAGCATGGCAGCCTGGATGTTTGCCACTGTGTCCCCATGTTCTCTTATCTCATTCCCCTCAGTGTATCCTCCAGCTCCCTCCAAGCAATATGGCTGGATTTTTGTTTACTTGTTTACTTTGTCTGCATGAAGACAAATGAGGATGGTGGGAGGAACGATTCTAGCTGAAATGATAGTTAGACTTTTCAAGCCTGAGGCCTGGGGGAGAGGAATCAGCACATGGAGGCAGAAGCTCCCAGTACCCAGTGCTGCCTGTGGCCACCATCAGCCCTCAGCAAAGAGCCTAGTTCCAGCAGGAATGGATACTGCTGGTGCTCTGTTCCCTGCCAGGACAGGTTTGCCTCTGTCCCTCAGTACAAAGTCCCAAGCCCATTTTCAGGCTCTTGCATGCTTTCTGTTTCTCTTCTCAGCCTGTCTGATGATCTAGCACAGTAGAAATTACGAGATCCACAAGATGGTTTCTGCTACAACCTGCACCTAGAAGCTTTTCTTAGTGGCATTTCCAGCACGAGAGTAAAGGAGAGGGACTTCTGTGGCATGGTTTTCCTTGACAGCCTAAGTAGACTAGATGCCCCTAGCCTTCACTGATATATATTGGGGAAGGCACTAAGGCATAGGTTCCCCCAGACTGGAGAACCATCTCTGTATCTATTCCTCTCCTATATGCACTCTGGGATCAGGGACCACTCAGGGCAGCACTGGTACATCTCTTGTAGCACAGAACTGATGGTCCTACCAGGTCTGAAACATGTTTATTCTGTGACTGGGAGCACACTAGATCCACTGGCAATGTGGATGCATAGACATGACAGATAGATCACACCATGTCTTGCCACTGAACCTCCCTCCTGTGCAGAACAAAATACATGTGATATGACAAAATAAACATTTCAAGGGCAGGGAGACAATACCTGAGAGTGGTTTGAGCTGGAACAAGAAATTACCACCCTCTTCTCTCCTCCAACAGCCTTGCCTGAGGCACATCCTCCAGCCCAGCAAGCAGGGTTTCCACAGGATGCGAGTGGGGAGTTTCAAGCAAACCTTCAAAACTGTCATTCTTTACTCTTGCTGTAAACTCGCACACTGTGGTGGCAGAGAAGCCCTCACAAAAGCTCCTCACTCAAGTCCTTGGCAGCTCAGATAAACAATCAAGCACAGCTGCAAGCAGGAAGCAGAAATGCCCCTCCACCCCCAAACTTCAAAGGATCTGACAACATATCACATTTGCTATGGCCACAGCTCTGCTAACAGACAATAGCTGGCTAAGCCACAATAACTCCTTATCACATGCAAACCTTAAATTCTCTCTCAGCAGCAAAGCAGTTCATAGGTACAGTCACACACAGCCTGGCAGGACCACTCATGGCTAGGACATGCATCGCACAACAGCAAGGAGCATCACAAAGTCTGCAACAGCACACATTTGCTGCTTATTTAATAACTATCCAGCCAACCTGCCCCCACTCAAACCAAGTGCAACAATGGGATTTGTCTCCTGAATATGCTGAATTTCTCCTGGTCCTTCCCTGTCCAATCTGAGCAGGGAATTAGAGCAAATTACATCCATCCTTTTTTGTTGCTAAAGTATTTCCCATTTTCCACGGTCTGGATTTCTCTTTCAGGACTTTAATGAAAAACAAATTTTGAATAGCTGTTCCCCATGCAAAAACCTTAGCAAGGAGTACAGATAAATAGAATGGTAGCCAGCCACTCTGTAAGCATGTCCTTCAAAGCCTGTGCTGAGACTGGGCAGCTTGTGCCAGTGTTTTGGTTGACCCCATGATAGCTGAGAATTGCACCAGCTATAAACAGATTGCCCCCTGCTTAGGGAATTTCATGTTCATCGCATCTCCAGCATGAACAAGTAGCCTGTAGACTGTTGCAATTAAGAGAGACAAATGTATCTCTCACGTGTCCTTTTTCCTGAAATCTTTTGCCTCTGTGTTGACATAAACCTCAACAGCAGCACCAGGAGAAATGCATGTCCCCAGCACAGGGCTCAGGAGAGCACAGAGTCCAGTTTTGATATTCATTCACAGGGCTCAAAAGTCCAGCTACTCCCCTGGCCTGTGCAGATTTCCAAGCTGAACATCCCAGGAACTAGCTGCTCAGCAGCCTTTCACTCCCTAGGAATGACCTGGCAAAGGGGAACTGAAGGAATCCCTATCAACAAAAGGAAACTGGACAAGAAGACTTTTTCAGTTGTTTTTGAAGGAAACTGGTTGTGTGGTATGGGAAAAAGAGATGCAACATCTCTATGATGGTTTGTAAGTCAGGGAGAGAAGTTGATTCTTTGTAGAGTGCCCTGAATCATATGGAGAGTGCTGAGGAATGGTGAAACAACTGAGGCAGGGTAAAGCTTGCTGGGTTTGTTATTCCACCTACAGCTTTTTATCTGTTTGCTACCCAGAGGAAAAAAACAGTTTATTTAAAAAAGAAAACCATCAGACTTCACAACAGAAAGCTTGTGTGCCTGTTTGTATGACTGCTGATGTCCTGGCAGAGGTAAACAGACAGAGCAGTGCCTCCTGGTAGGATCCTAAAGCGGCGTTGCTGGTCACACCAAGGCAGGGGCCAGGGAACTGAGCATGTCTTCACACCTTTGTCTGGCGGAAGATGCCACTGCAGACACTGCCAGCAGTCTCCCACATCTCCTATGTCAGGGCTTCGCTCATGTACAGGGAATGGAGCATCTGATTCTCCCTATTACCCTGAGAGATGAATCAGCAAGAAGTTGCCAAGTTTTTCTTCTTTTCACTCTCTCTTTTTTTTTTTTTTTAATTAAAATCAACAAGAAATTCACATATAACTTGCCTCACTTTGCATCAGAACCCCTCCTCTCCCTTTACTCACCTTATCCTCTCATTTGCATTAAACCTCAATCACTTAGTCAGGCCTAAAATGACACTTTTGTAACCATGATGTAATATGCCCACATATCAGAGTGCCAGAAAAATAACAGCAATATTTAAATTAACTCCCTTCACCTTTTCTCCCCTCTCTTACCACTAGACAATGCTCCTTTCCAAACGGGTCAAAATTTGGCAGTCTTTACGTCTCTTTACAACTTTACTGGAAGAAGCAACCCCACAAGACATTGTAACAGAAACTTAGAAAGCCCAAGGCTGGCTTCAGGTAACAAAAAGAAAGAAAGAAAGAAAGAAAAAAATCAACCACAAAAAAAAAAAAAAACAACCCCAAAGCAATAGTGAAACTTGTCAGATCAAATAGAAGGTGGTTGTCTGAACTCACAGAATTTGAGTGGCTTCAAACAGATCAATTCTTTCATTCTTACTCATGCCGTCTCTTCTCCCGGAGAGGGCTACAGAAACAGTCACACATAACACCCCTCAACAGCGTGAGTTCCAGCTAACTACAACAAGCTGTGAGGTTTCTGAGCCTAGATACGCAACTGAGCAAGCCTGCTGAGAGCCAGTCCATGCTGTGGCTCCATTTCTTGTCTCTGACACGCTGATGCCTCAGCACATGCAGAGAATGTGCTGGAGACCAGCAACTGTTCTTTCTGCTTTTACACTACAGGTGCCCTGCATGCCCTTGCTGTGTACCAGTTACCTTCCTCCCCATCAGGACTGACCATGAACTGGTAAAGAGTCAGGACACAGGGATGCAATATGCAGTATTGGTATGAGGGATGCTAGCCATATCTGGCAGGGCACATTTCTTCTTCTCTGACCAGGATTTCTCCACTGGGGAAAGCAGAGCTGTAGCAGGCTCTGGCAGAGCTGTTTGCCAGCACACCACCTTCCGTCTCAACAGATACCTCAAACAGCTCTGTGAGGAATGGTACCCACCACACAGCAGTACCCACTGTCACACCAGCTCTTCTCCTTGCTTGTCCTGCCTCACTCTCTGCTGATACTCTGTCTCTCAGAGCCCATTGAGCATCCCTTTGCTTCCACTGTGTTTTTGCTGCAGAAGTAGCAATGACCCTATTCACACATTCCTTTCTTATAAAGCAGTCCCTTTTACCACCTTGGTTACTATACCCAATATAGTCCAAGAGCTATTAACAATGGCAGCATTAAGTAGCAATTGAGTGGTTAATGTTAACAATAAGTACATCACTACAGTTCATTAGCTAAACAGATGTCTTTACTAAAGCCACTGAGGCACAAGCAGTCTGTAAATTGACTCTATACAGTTTGAAATTGTAGAACCTTGTCAAGCCTTAGTTTGAATCTTTAGCTGGAGACCGCAGGCTAAGTAGTGGATTTGCTCTGGGCAGTTCAGAGCTACCTTTGAGGAAGAGATCACAAAGCAGTAACACTGCATCTTACTTGCAGCCATGCTATTGTCCCAAGACAGTCACAGATGCTCTCTCTCACTTAGGAGCAAGCCTGGCAGCACCTGGCTTTATCCTGCCAGGATCAGCCAGCTCTGCCCACCTTAGGAGATCCCAGCACTATATATAACATGAGTGTCACTATATATAACGAGTGGCACTGTGTCACTGCCCCTGAGACATGCAGGTCTGCATTGCCTTTAGTATTTCAGATAAAAAGACTAACAGATCCCTGCCCCTCCCAGATGTGCAGCAATAGCAACTGCTGCATCCTGCCCCAGAGCTAACTACATTCACAGCCTAGATGAGCTACTGTGTGCCAATTTATACAAATCTTTGGGATCTTTCCAGCCCCACACCAATATGGTACCAGCAGAGACAGCACCGTCTGTGTGAGATTCCCCTGGGCACTGCACCCACTGTCTCTCTCTAAGCTGCTCACCAGTAAAGAAAGGAAGCATGCAATGTGCTTGGCTAGTTTTGCTACAGAAACAGCTGCAAGTTTGAGGGCACATGTACATACAGATGCCTACTCCTCACTTGGATGCCCGGTCACTAGAAAAGCAACACAGCACCAACAGCAATCAGAAGAGGATAGCAACTTCCAGCCTTTCCTGGCAGGGTCTAGATCCAAGCCTCTGTCCCTGCACTATGTGGTTTGCCCCCCTGATACTAGAGGGAATGGGAGCAAGAATAAAGCATTATTCAAGCAAAAAGGTCCCTAAACTTTGACTTTCTGAGGGATTTTCTATCCTGAGAAATGCAGTGGAAATATCTGAGTGCAGCAACACTTGTGTGAGCAGAGAGATGCAGCGTTCACTTCACACTGGCCATACTAGTGGCCAGTCTACTTCCATGTTTCAAAGAAATAAGTTCCCCTGAAGCAAGAAACAGCAAACCACAGGACACACATCACTGAGCTGAGAGCAGCACCAGCAAAAAGGAAATAAAGGCTGCTGAAGAGCCACTGTTCGCTGTGACCAACATCAGTTTCGAGAACTTTGGACCACAAAGATGATGCGCCTTTGTGTACTGCCTGGTGGACGGGTGGCAGATAGCCTTGGGGTTAACACATGCAGGGGAAGAGCTCATGAATCAGAAACCAGAGTGAGCAAATAAGGGGCTTTTAACACCAAAGCACCCCTTCCTTTCCTTGCCCTTCAGACTTCCACATCAGAAGGGCCATGTGCTAGGGCCAGGGGACACAAAGAGGAGTATGATGCCTTTGGGGATGGCAGAACTTCTGCTCCACAACAAATGTCTGGCTCTACTCAAGCTGAAGCCTGTGTTGTGAGATCAGTCACCTTCCTGATGGCCAAACTGGGCTTGGGCTGTCTGGTCTGCGCTACCCACGTCACACCTCCCTGGTTCCCAAATCCTGATGTTTCGATGCTGGAACCCCAAAGTTCCATAGCAGGGACACTGTGCCCTGCGAAGCAGGCAGCAAACTGGGATCAAGCTCCCAAATCGTTGTTGATCATAGAGACCTTCAGGACTTTGGTCACTGCAGAAGCCTGCTGCCCAAATGAGGGGAGAACAGTGTCACTTACTAGAAAAATATACCTTTATTTACCAGATGTGTTTTATTCAGGAGAGAATATCCCCTGATAAGGGGGCCAGCCATAGCCATACTGTTTATGGTGGCCAGCATGCCACCCCACCTGCATCATACAGAGGGTGACAGAACCAGTTTCCCATGGGGGACCCTGATGCTTTGAAAAGACAGAAAGGGGGCTGGAGATGCTGCTTTCATCTTGGGCCCCATCGCTCTCCACCACTATGTTGTTTAGGTTCTGTCAGTGGAGCATGTGGCCTCCCCACCAGCCCCTTCAACACAGCACAGTCATATTTTCTCTCCAGGGTTGGGATCCCCCTCATGGCCCTGCTGCTTCTGGCACATTCCTTGCAAGGCAGTGGGCACGAGTTAAATAAAGGGGTTGGGGAACATTTTCTGAGATGGGCACAGTCGACAACACAAAATGTACTTATGGCACCAAAGTAGCCGGCTAGCAGGCAGGTGCCTGTTGTACATCAGTCACAGTGCTGAGTGCCCAGGCAGGGTGCTTAGTCATAGCTTGAGATGGGTAGAGAGACCTCTGCACTACTTGTTCTCACACCACCACCTGCGGTGTGCCATGGCATGGCACAGCCCAGGCACCTGCAGACAAAGCTTTAGGGGCCTCCACGCTGCCTGCCTGCTGCTCAAGCTCACCAAGGCCATGGCACCATGTGGGGCTGCTGGCACCAGCATCTTCTCAGGTAGCAAGTAACTAGTTTCAATGGTGTCTTCAGGACATACATTTTGAGTTTGTTGTTGGGTTGCTTTTTTTTTCCAGAGGGGAAAATGCGTGATTCTCTTCAGGTTGGTGTAGTACAGCCCTGGTGCTTCTGAGAGGTCTACTTCCAAACCTTTACCAGTTGCTTGAGGCTTCTCATGCTGAAGACCAAAACATGGTTTCCTGGAGAACTTCGTGGGGCAAGATCCTGGCTTTGCCACTGCCACTCAGGCAGCACTCACCACTCATGTATATTTGAGTGTGTGTCATGGGCTGCTGGCCATGCTCCAACAGCCTCATTCAAAGCTTAAATAAGCCAAAGAATGTCTTGGATTCCTCAAAATTAATCAGAGAGATTTTGGAGACATTGACATGCAAACTGTCCATCTTCCTGAGCTTGAATAAAGCCCCCAGGTAGCTTTTCCGGGCCCATGTTTTCTGACCTGTACAGTAGTTGATGCCCTTGTCCTCCATCAGCACATGGCTACCAAGCAAGGCTGGGTTTTTCTTGTAGACGCTGTGGGTCAACACCTGGCTGGTGCAGACACTGCCTCGGAAGAGCACGTTGGAATATACAAAGTACAGACCGGTCTCATTGATGATGAGGCCCTGATCACGGTACTGAATGCCGTTGGTGAAGGCATGGCCAGAGACGGGTTCCCAATCCAGAGGGAGGTCTCGCTGGTCCGGGTTTCCTGGGAGCCAGAACAAGATAAAAAGTGCAGTAAGCACAAGCAGTTGTGTGATTTTTTTCTCAAGTGACACCCCAAGTCACTACAAGTCAGCTGTTCTCCAAGCCCTTGTCTGCAGCATGGAAAGCCTGTCCTCACTTCAGGCTGGTGGAAGCTCTCACCTTCACCTCCCTCAGCTGCTTCTGACAGCCTTCTGCCCTGCACACCCCAGATGCAAACCAAAGACAGAGCCCTCATTGAAAAGCCTAAACAAGGGGAAAATTTTTGCTGTGGAGTAACTTCCCAATGTCAGAGTGCATCTTACCAAAGAAAAGCAGGAAAGCCTGAGTGAGGTGTGCTCCTCACTATGTCACCCTCTCACCCCAGCCATGTCTGCCCTATTCTGTGCTCCCACATTTTGATGGCCCCTTAGCACATACCTGTTAAGTGTGCTGCCTTCCTTGCTTCATTTTTCATTGACTGCTCCTTCTGCCCTGCACAAAAATAGGGAAGAAGTTAGCTGTGTGCTCCATGGAGAAGCCAGTCTAGAGAGCAGAAGAGAGACAACCAAGAAGCTAAAGCAGGGCAGATTCAAAGCAGCACAGGGAACATAAGCACCATGGCTTAGCACAGGAAGGCAGAGTAGTGCTTGAGCAAGCACTGCAGGGCAAGAAGAGAAATTTAAAAGGAAGAGCTGCAGCAGAGAGCCCAGATGTGATCAAAAACAAGGGGAAAGAGCAAGAGGAGCTTCCATCTTAGAATGGCTCAGTTGGTGAGCTCAAGCAGAGGCCTGTCATGCAGGATATAGGAGAGGGACAATGCTGCCCCTTTATCCAGCATCTCTGGGCCATGCAAAGGTGACTGTTCATTTTCTATCATAGATGAGCCTGCTTTAGTGCCCCCCTCTAGTCCAGCACTACCAAGGGCAGATGTACTCATGGCAATGGACTTCTGTTTGCTGACTACCAACCCTCCTCACGGCTAGAACAGAGACGCTTGAGACATCCTGCAAACCATTCCACTGGCCAGGCAGACCTTTTCTTCAGAGAGACAGAACACAGCTGGGAAAATTCTGCCTTCCCTGGAGCGCTCCGTTTCCCTTGGAGAGATGGACTTGGAGAGTGACTTGGTATTTGGATTCCGTCCCCACTCCATCCTTCCCTTCTCAACATCTCCTCCTTTAGACCAGTTCTCTAGCTTTATTTATTTATCCACCCCCTTCCAAAAATTCAGAATTGCTACTTATAGCTTCTGTTTCACTACTGTGGTCAGACCACTGAACGTCGAGTTAAAATGACAGCTCCCCTTCTCCTAAGCAATAGATTGCAAAATTTATCAATACGGGAGTTGATGGGAACCAGAACTGCCCTTTCCAGAGAATTTTGCTATTTCCAAAATTGCTTTAATGCAGTATCGGAACATACTTGAAAAGAAATTGACTTTCCTACTAACCAAAATCCTCAAGGGAAAAAAAAAAAAACAAAACAACAAAACACCTTTCCAGATGTAGCAAAAATTGTCAAGAGATGAAAAATTCCTTTAGACTTGGCCGTTTTCAAAAAGTGATATCCTCACTGCTAACATTAACAGGGAATGTAAAAGTAAAATAATAGTTCTGAAGTTCAAAATATTATTTTTAAATTTTTCCTTTCAGATTCAAACTCTTTGGGCTTTTTTCCTTGTCTCTAAACTGGATGAACATAAATTTGATAGGTGGACCACTTGGTGGATAAAGAACTGGCTGGATGGCCGCACGCAAAGAGTTGTGGTCAACGGCTCAATGTCCAGCTGGAGACCAGTAACGAGTGGTGTCCCTCAGGGATCGGTGTTGGGACCGGTCTTGTTCAACATCTTTGTCGCTGACATGGACAGTGGGATTGAGTGCGCCCTCAGCAAGTTTGCCGATGACACCAAGCTGTGTGGTTCGGTTGATATGCTGGAGGGAAGGAATGCCATCCAGAGGGACCTCGACACGCTTGTGAGGTGGGCTGATGCCAACCTCATGAAGTTTAACCATGCCAAGTGCAAGGTCCTACACCTGGGTTGGAGCAATCCCAGGCACAGCTACAGGTTGGGCAGAGAAGAGATTCAGAGCAGCCCTGTGGAGAAGGACTGGGGGGTGTTGGTTGATGAGAAAATGAACATAGACCAGCAGTGTGCGTTTGCAGCCCAGAAAGCCAACTGTATCCTGGGCTGCATCAAAAGGAGCGTGACCAGCAGGTTGAAGGAGGTGATCCTGCCCCTCTACTCTGCTCTTGTGAGACCTCACCTGGAGTATTGTGTGCAGTTCTGGTGTCCTCAACATAAAAAGGACATGGAACTGTTGGAACAAGTCCAGAGAAGGGCCACAAGGATGATCAGGGAACTGGAACACCTCCCATATGAAGACAGGCTGAGAAAGTTGGGGCTGTTCAGCCTGGAGAAGAGAAGGCTGCATGGAGACCTCATAGCAGCCTTCCAGTATCTGAAGGGGGCCTATAGGGATGCTGGGGAGGGACTTTTCATTAGGGACTGTATCAACAGGACAAGAGATAATGGGTTTACACTTAAACAAGGGAAGTTCGGGTTAGACACAAGGAAGAAATTCTGTACTGTGAGGGTGGTGAGGCATTGGCACAGGTTGCCCAGAGAAGTGGTAAATGCTCCGTCCCTGTCGGGTGGCCTTGGGATGGCCATCTTGGGAAACATGGTCTAGTGCAAGTCTAGTGCACCCCCCATGGCAGGGGGGTTGGAACTAGATGACCTCAAGGTCCTTTCCAACCCTAAGTATTCTACGATTCTGTGATTCTAAATTAGATTTAGAAAAATTGGCAGTTTCTTGTGAGAAGCTTCTATTTCAGTGAAAATGACATTTCTAAAAGACACCTCCCCAGACATATAATCAGGCTTTTCTCAATTAGCTTTGGCTGCAGTGAGAATTTCTACCAAAAGAGTTTAGAAAAAAAATAAATTAAAAATGGATTCCCTACCCCAAAGAAAACTGAATCCTTTGCATCATCCAAAAATATTAAAAAAGTTAGAAGAGAAAGAATTAAGATGTGCAGTGCCCATCACTGTTGTCCTTCTATTCATGTTGTTGCTATAGATTAGGACAGCCAGAAACCACTTCTACAGCAGAGCATCTCCAGTACCGCTGCCCCACTGGCCTGGGGAGTCCCAAGGTGGAGGCACACTGTCCCAGAAAGCTGTTGCTGATACCTCTAAGCACTACAGCAGGTAGAGTACAGGACAACATCCCCACCATCACAAAGAGAAAGATCTTTTTTCAGCCAAGCAAGTGAAATCAGCACTTTCGTAGCATCAAGCTGTGACCTTGCCTTTACCCCAGGCAAGGAGAGGGAAGAGTTCAACAGGATCATTCACACATGCTATCACAGAGGAGTTCCTCCTCTACGTACATTAACTCACCTATGAGTTTTTCCAAAGCTGGAGGGATGTGCTCACTGCTGGCAGACTGTCAAAAGAGAAGAGTCACAAGCTGTCTTAGCAGAGTGAGAACACAGGGGCATCATCTAAAGCAGCCAAGGACTGTCTTTGACAATGGTTAATTCTCCGTGCTCATATGAAAGACCTTGCTGCACTCAAAGACATCCAAATAGACCCATCAGTCCTCTTGCAGTAATAAGCACCCCCACTTACATGGCAAACATTTAAATGTCCCTTGGGGATCTTTGCAACACTTGAGCACCTCAGAGCCAATTTTCAGGGTTTTTTTCCTGTTTCCCCAAAGCCTCTGCAGACCTCACCTCTCTGAGTTCAGCCAGTTCCTTCTCCAGGTGGAATATCTGAAACATGCTCAGCCCCACTCCAGTGAGGGCCAGCAGGAGCAGCAAGGAGATCACCAGAAAGCCAGTGCTCCTCCTTTCCCTGTTGTTCCTTGGCTTTCTGCTCCGGTCGGGTACTGGTGGTGGGAAAGGAGCGACGGGGGGTGCTGGAGGGCAGGAAGTATTTGCACTGGGACAGCCATCCACCCAAAAGATCTGAGGATACACGTAGTTCAAGTTCTGCTGCATGGCCGGGAGCGGGATGGACTGGACGTGCTTAGCGTGATCTTCCATGTGGCAGCCAAAAACTGCTGGGGCTGTCCCAGACTGAGCCTTGGGGGAAGACACAGATCTACCTTTATACGCCTGCATCACTCCAGCAGAGAGCACCCAGCTCAGATGCTGCAACTCTACAAAAGCCTCAAGCATCAACCCCAAAGCGTTTCCGCCCTCAGCTGCAAGTTCAGGGTACCCGCCTGCTCCTCCCACAGCGAGGCAGCAGCACCAGCCCGGCGGCAGATGCTCACGCAAAACCATGCTCGGGAAGCACATGCATTCACATGCAAGGGCCACGCTGCTAACTGGGGGCTGAGTAATCAGCACAGCGCACATCCACCAGCCAAACACCCTTTCCAGCAGCCCACTCGGGAAGAGACGCCTGTTTTTCCACCGCGGTGTCCTGGGTGACAAGCAGAGCACCCTGCACAAGAGGGGAGAGGCAGAGCTGAGGACTCCTCAGCAGAAAGATTAAGACCTAATCCCAAATGCATCTATGGGTGCTGGGGAATTGCTTAATTCATACAGGACAAATTATTTGCTCCTCTCCGTTGTACATCCTGCCTTTTCCTTGGCTGCTCCATAGGGCACAGATCGTAAGTCACAAAACACCGGCCACAGACACCATCCCACTGTTAAAAACCAGTCTATCAGAAAACAGGAAGATGTCAGTGCTGCAGCCACAGCAGAGCTACCCCATTAACAGCCCACTTAGAGCAAGCTCAGCGGACTACCTTCAGCCACACCAAATCACTGCAGGACACTAGCCAAGCTGAAACAGTGGTGTACTGTAATGGGAAACATACCATGTCTCAGGGCACAAGCAGGCCCTTCTGGCAGCTTCTGCTGCCCCTCTTACCTTTGCAAATAGTATCTCAAATCCCACAGTCCTCTTCTAATCTGAAGAAGTCTCAGATAGGGAAGGGCTTTTTTTATCATCTCTTCAGGTCAACATTGAGCATTGCAGTGGGACCTAACCTGGCTGAGTAACTTAAGAGTAAAGCCTAGGGTAGACACTAGGCTACTTATCTTGATAGAACTTCTTTTGCCTTCCAAGAAAAGATTGAGAATTCAAGCCATGCTGCAAGCACAAGCAGTTACAAGAGCTCATTACAAAATCTTCATGAGACAGGGCAAGACAGGGACATTCCCATTCCTCAATTTCCAGTTTCTCAATTTTCATTCCTTATTGACTGCAGATTTCTAAGGGGCAGCAATGAGACTTTCCCACAGAATTACAGGTGCACACAAGGGATTACAAGCAGCAGTTTGCTCTTTCAATTCTTGCACTTATGTTGAAGTGTGTATTTGGGATAGCACATAAAAACAGAAACACTACAAGAAGAACTTGGAGATTTGTCTCTTCTGTGGCAGGACACACAGCCTTTAATCTTGAACATCAAAACTGTGGTCTGAAAACAGCATGCTTTAACAACATAAATATGCTTTTTTTTTCTCCAAACAGGGGCTCAGCTTTGCCTCCAACCACACCAGTAAGTCAGACGTGTCCTCAAAGCCTTGCCTGCACCACCAGACACCACACTGCTTTTTGAAGATGTTCACCACAGCTGTTTGTTGCAGAGTGATCTGCAGCACAAGAGGTTTCAGCAATCCACCTGGCTCGTCCTCATAGTTCTAGGTTTCTAACATAAAAGACACAAAAGCAACATACTTCCAGCTTCAGCAGTTCAATCCTGGTCATGCCTACCCTCATTCTGCACCTTAGAACAGCACACCCCAGATGGCCCAAGAACAGATCCTCATCCACTCCTACAGTCATGACAAGAGATCACAAAAAGGTCTGGGCTTAGCCCTGCACCTCCCATACCACATGGTGAACCCCAGCCTCCCATCCAGTGCTGGGTATGGGGAAAAAGAGATGCCTCCATGGCACAGGGAGCCCAGAGAGACAGCAGGATGGCTGGGGAAGCATCTCTCCTGCCAGGACACTCTCCACTACCCTACCTGTGCAGCTCCCCAGCACCACTGCCTGAGCCACATGTGAGGGAACTCACCAGCCACTGAGGCACCTCACTTAGTGGGCAGTGCCTGCACTCCCAAGTTATCAGAGCAATGAGCACCAGGTGCCCACGACTCTTTCCAACACGGACATGGGCATCAGAGTTCCTGTTTCTTTAATGCCCTCTGTGGCCCATTCAACTGTTGTAAAATACAGTGATGGCCGAGAGCAGAGACTGAAGCTCAGGACTTTGTCATCTGGAGGCATTGCTGATCAGCATGCCAAAAGTCATTGACCACACAGCTTTGCCTGGAGATCTGCTGTCAAGTTCTTCCTGACACTGACTGCTTAATGCAGATAGTTTATCTTGGTGGGATTGAAGGTACAGTAGCAGTCTCCCTTAAATGTCAGAAGAGCACTTATTTCTCACCCACTGCTTCCCACAGGCAGGGATGACTAAAACAATGAAAGCCATTTCAGCCACAGCTGCTGCATCCTCTCTTTTGGATGGGTAGATCAATAGCCTGCTAATACCACATGCTGTGGCAAGCCAAAGATTGGGACTAATTACCATCAAATGACCATCTTTTGGTGCACAGGATACTTTTAGAGACTTCTCCCTTCCTAGCACACTCTACTGTGCAGGTCCTGCTGTCACACTGTTTCCCCTGTCACCATCTTCAGAGATCACCAAGATGATATGTGCTGGAAGACAGGGCAGGCAGAGCTGTGGCTTTGCAGTGTGTCATGGCACCTACAAGCTCTGTTCTGCTGACTTCCTATTGCTCAAGCCACATGCAACATTAACAAGGCTATTGAAATAATTGTGAGACAATTTGCTGTAGGTAGATACTTAAGTCACAGGAATCTATTTTGCTAGAGAGCCTAGAGACAGAATTTAGACAAGCCTGACCTTTCCCAAAACATGGGGCAAGGACAGCTGGGCAGGAAAGGAGGACACAAGAAGGACAAAGGGGGTGGTCAGATTTGTCTATGCGCCTCCCTATCCTCTCTTCACTCAGCCTGCAAGATACACACATTGTTTTCAGCAGCCTCATGTCATTTGAGCAGGAGGGAATATTTCCAAGTGGAAATATTCCATATCCCCTTATTAGAGAATCAATCCCCTTCGCCAAGAACAGCAAAAGACAAGCAACAGTTAGACAAAAAAAAAAAAGATTTGCTCAGAACTCCTACCATCCCTATCTCACTCCCAGAGAGGCAGAAGCTGTTATTAACAATACACACCAAGTTTATGTTGACAGCAAAGAGAATCAGCCAGCAGCTAGACGTTTCTATCAGCAGATTTAAGGACAAAAGGATGACCTGCTTGAAAGACACCAAAGGAAAGGACTTGAACAATGATGGAGATCTAATACTCAACAGAAAATATACTATAAACAACCAAAAAACTGAAGTGTGAACCACTGGTGTATGAGAGACTCTCATTGGTTTCTGGGCAGTCAGATATGTGTCTGAAAGTGATTAACAAATATTTCCTATTAGACCAGTGACTAGTGGAAATGCTAAAAAGCAACTGCTAAAAACCCATAGGGCTACGTAAATTGCACCCAAGAACAACTGAAGAAGTTGAGAATCATTTGCATTCAAAAACCAGGATTCAAAACATTAACCCAAGATATTAACAGCCTTTGCAACCTTTTGCAGTCCCAGGCTAAACTGTGCCATCAGACCCAGGAGAGGCAGCTACTGCAAACCCAGTGAGGATTAGCCACAGCGGGCAGAAGAGATGGGACCCACTGATGCACACTGGTTGGTACACTGGAAAGAGTAACGGAGCACCATGTAGGACAAAGCTTCTGATTTTCCACCAAGATTGTCCTCAGCACAATGCTACTTCAACACCTTTACCAAAGATCTGGAAAAAACTGAGCAACATATTACACCAGCAGTATTTGCAAATTAAAATAACTGCTAAGAGACCCTGAGTAACCATGAGGACAGAATTTTATAAGAAGGAAACAAGTCTAGAAACAAAGACTACAGATAAAACTTTAGGTGGAGAATAATATCCTGGAAAGAAAACACAGTTCTGAAACTGATAGAAAGGATACCCAGCTATACACAAGCTTCCAGCAGGGAAAGCCCATGGGCTTCTATAGGCACAAACTCACATTTAGCACTAGACAAGTAGAAACAGCCCAGAACCCACATTGCATGGTTGTGTTCAGCTTCAGAGGGGCTCAAGCAAAAGTTGCAATAACTGCTGGACAGCAAAAATGTTTAACTCAGTCCGTTCAAGAGCAGATGGGCAGGGAGGGACAGACTGTGTTAAAAACCTGTCACAGAGGGGGATGATTTCCAGCAGCAGAGAGCTCTTGCGTTTCAGGAAAAAAACCCTCCCAGGGAGCCACTAACCGGCAGCCAAAGCTGAAGGAGTCTGTGCAAAAAAACCTATGGATTTTTGACTGGACATTGGAACAGAGGCTCATGAGGACTGCCTCCAAAGGCAGCAGGATCTCTATCCACTGAAGACTCCAAGGGGCGTGGAAGACACTGGAATTCACCCAGCCTTGCAGTTAGCACTGACATCTTAGTGTCATCTCTTTATTACCTGTGGCTTTTTTATTAACAGTTCAGTTTCCCAGATGAGGGTGATGCTTTTCATTTTCTCTCTTCGCTAGAAGCATTTGTGGCATACGTAAAGCCACACGCTGGTGCCAACAGCTCATGAGAGAGACATTCACATTGAGAGCAGGTTTCAAAATCTGCTTCTAACAGCTCTGGCCAGGCATTAGGGTGCTCAATATGGTCCTCTTCCAGTGAACAAGGTGCTTTGTTATCTTGCTCACCGTGAACCCCAACAAGTAGACAGCAGCACTGGGTTCAGCAGAAGTGGTACAGGACTCTGACCCGAGGCAGGAAAGAATCCAAGCAGGGAAGGAGCCAAAGCAGCTGAGAGGAAGAACTGAAAGCAGCAGAGCAAGATTTTCTTTTGTGTCTGTAACAAAAGCGAAGAAATGAGATACAGTGGTTATGAGATAATGGGACCTATTGCTTAAACAGCCAAGAAAGAGAAGCCTGTCATTTCAAACACATAATAGCTTAGTCACAGAACAAGGTGTTTTGGTCAGTCAGAGGTGGCAAGGAAAACCACAGTGAATGTGCAGATGTTGATTTCCTGTCCAGCCCAGTGACGGTTGAGAACTGCATTCACAAACCCTTCACAGCAGGACCCATGCTGCCAGCCCTGGCTCTGGAGATCACCAGCTGGCTCTGACAGCCAATGTGGCCTCATTAGCATTTGACAATTTTATTCCTCCTTGGCAGCAGCTGTTCCCAGCCCATAAAAAAAAACCAAAACAAACACCCCAAAACCAAACCCACCCACCCAAACAAGAAATAAACAACAAACCCCCTGGGATCTACCCTGAGATCCTTACTGAGTTCCACCAGGATCACATATAGCTCTGTGTCACTGAGCAAATTCAGGCC